AAAGTCAGCGCTGTACCTATCTGTCACTCAGGGAGTTTTTGGTGTTGAAAAACTTACTCAATTTGGAATTCTCTAGGGACTATTGAAACAAGACCGTTCATAAATATAAATCTCTCAATTAAAACGCGTCGTCGTCAATACTAATAAATATACGATTTATCACACCGTGTTTACCTTGTTAAGCTTTTATACAAGTGTTTTTGCGTCATGTTTCACGAATAAAATTTGAACAAGCTCCGGGAACCTTTTAATATTTAGGCGTCGTATTGATTGCACTATTCATATCAAAAATTGTTTTATGTTTCACCTGGTGCCGGGAATAAAAGTTTATATTTTAGTCCATATTATATCAGTATAATATGTTTGTACCAAAATAGCATAATCACAACCACCATAGATGCCATCTGTGTTAAACTCGATGAGCCCTCGTAATCGCTAGAAATTATTAAATTATAGTTACCTTTTATCGCAGTAAAGGTTTAAAATAATGGGTCTTGAACCCAAAATTAATATTGTTGCAATTTCCAACGACATTATTTTATTTCTATCAGGTGTCTATTGTGAAAGACATACAGACTTTAGTGAAAAATACGGAACCCTTAAAAATAAGGGCACTGTCTCAGCCGGTTCCAGCAAAAAGTTCTAGGCACGCAATATCAGACCAAATATTAAAACCCCTATCAAAAAGTTAGCCAAAGTTCTAAATAAAATGATACTTTCGACTTCTAAAGGACAACAAACCAATATTCGGCCAGGTCGTTAAAATTAATGGCCAGAATACATGCACGAGCCAAACATGGAACACATTAAAACTTTCGTTCGATAAATATTGAAGGGCCATTCGAACTAACACTTATTGCACACAGTTGAATATTTTGTTTTCGAACTACTTTTACAACTAGTTTAATGACATGTGGTCATTCGCTGGAAACTTTCAAGGTTCTTAAATGTTAGGTTTTAATATGCATTGCTATCGACCAATCCTTTCAGCCGGATTCCGTCAAGTTTTGAAAAATGCCCCCAGCAACCTTTACCAGTTCGTTAGTCCACCGAGTGTGATACTCGCCTACACTACGTTGTCCTTCAAGTGGCAGCCACGGATCGACCGATGCCATAATGAATGTTATCAATACAAAAACGCTTCCAAGATCTGGTGGCCTGTAAAATGTTTCCTCTTTTGTTTAGTTAATCTATTGTAGGTACTAAAAAGAAGTTCCATGCATCGGAAGACACGTTAAGCCGTCGGTCTTACAGAACCAGTCAGATATATGGTGTCTAATAAAGTCTGACATATTATTATGACTGTGACATTGTTGCCACACGAAAAAAGATTTTTTTTACTGTGAGATCAAGCAACATTGAACAAAATCAAAGTAACAGAAGCAACGAAGTATTGTATAGTTTGAAACCCTGTATTTCTTGTAAGAATTCATTAGAGAAGCGAGGCATTTTATACAGCTCTTATAACAGCTGTAAAAACGGCATAGCACTTGAAAGATTAGTTCACACCGATTAGCAGAAGAGCAACGAATTGTAAAAAACATTTCAATTACCAGATTGGATGGCGCTAGAACAAAAATGGTATTCACTAGTGTGCGAAGACAAGTTGTTTAGAAATAGTTGCTATTTGTTGCATATTCTTGGTTAAATAACGAGTAGCAGATTGGTTTGGACTGAAAAAGAATAATAACTGGCCAGTTTGAAAAAAAGTTGAACAACTTTAACTCCTTTAATATAGATGACCCACGCTGAACTGTCCCGCCAAACTCAATGACAGGGGGGCGCTACCATCGTTCAACTATATGGTTTCCAACATGGCAAAATCTGAACCAGCGATCCGGTATTGACGGTGGCGCCCCACTGTCAATGTCATCGACAGGACAGTCCAGTATTTTGGAACTATATCCTACATGTTAACGTAATTCATCATCACTACATAAAACATAGAAATGCGAATAAATAATGTGAGAATATCAGTCTCGTATTCGTATCACGACTATAAAGAAAAGATCTGAATAAGGTAAGAAAATAAATTATTATATTATGTAAATCTTATAACGGCCCACAATTCTCAGCGTCAGGCATTAAAGAGAGGGTGTTCGCAAGATCATGTAAACCAGACCTAACAATTTAATAAAATGGATGTAGACCGGGAGTCGCATAGTCAGGGATACTTACGGCAAAATGAACGTTATTGCCTCCACAATGGCTGTCTTTAAACATTTACATGGTCTACTTTATTACGACAAATGTGTCGAAAATGTAAATGGGGACTGAGTGTTTGGCGGGATTTTACCGAGTCAAAGGTCAGAGCAGTTGTTCATTTGATATTTTATACGTTATTTGAGCGTAGAAAGGAACATTTTACTGTTGCGATATAATATTTACTAGAATAGAATTCATAAGAAATGAGCTGCCCTTGAATTCATAATGGTTATGTATCGATAATATGTATCGTATGTAGTGTATTGGGCAAGTGCTGCCGCGCTTCTGCCATGTATGTTAAATTATTTGAAAAATACGTCTATTTTTACGGTGTTATTTTCCTTCCAATGGTTTGCAGCATGAACACGGTACGTAATTTTGGCTCCAATGAGAACATTCAATGTATCAGACTGCTAGTATTTTCCGATAATGTCGTTTACCACATTATCCAGACATTTCTTTGTGACTAGGCAACTTCCACCAAACATTGGGTCTTCCCAAAATGATAACTATTTATAACTAGACCATTCCCCCGATTCTGATATCCCCAACAAAGGAAAAGTCCGCCATTAGACGGCCTACGATGACCCCCGCTTATCCAGCGAACGAGCCAGAAATACCTCGATTCACTCCAAGTACTACCCTAATTCGGCATGGTTTATTCATGAGACTAAATAGACAATGACCGTGCTTAGCTAGAGTTCCAGAGTAGTGAGTGATTCCGCCACGAGCTGATTTAGTACAACGCAATGTTTGTGCCCTGTAAATTAACTGCGCGATGCAGTGTTGGGTTGGGAGACCGTGTCAACATGCCCTGTCGGAATATATTGGATGGAATCGGCAAATTATAGGGAAAATACAATACAAGTTTTTGTAACTGCAACACACAGTGGCATCGTGGATGACACTTGACTCGTGAGTCGTTTGACGTACATTATATGAAATTACTATGTAATATTTTGTTCTTAAGTTTTATATTACTAGCTGTGCCCACGAATTCAAACGCGTGAATATAGTTTGTATATTTTTTTCCGTTCTTGCAACATTTTTCATTGCTGCTATTGGTTGTAGCAATCATGCTAGAACATCAGTTAAAGCCTAAAACTTTTCCCTATAATGGGCTATCCAAACAAAATTATTTTTTCAAATCGGATTAGTAGTGCCTAAGATTAGCTCGTTCAACTAAACTCTTCAGCGTTATAATATTAGTACAGATATGCCATGTATTTTTCTGAGTTCAGGAGTTTCTTTCTGTGGAGTTGCTCTATGCCTTTTAAATTAAATTCTGCTGACGGAAAGTATCCTATGACTTTCTTAGAGCCCGTTCACAAAGCGGACTCCATTTTGCAGAATCGTTTTTAACGGGTAACGGATCTATCGACACTGGTTTTGTTTTTCATTCGTTGCCAGTTTCAACGTTCTACTGAAATTGATCGGTTTGCCATCACCAAGAATTTTCAGACAACATCGATATACGATAAAATATTTACATAACTTACAATAATTCAAGGTCTCCTTGTACCCACCTACTTTTACATACATCTTCATCTACAAATGGGTTTATAGGGTTTTCACAATATACAGTTTTTGATGATAAAATGATATGCGTAAAACTTTCTCACCAATATCTTTGATGGATTCAGAATGATGTCGCAAAAGTTAACTTACCTACTCTCTCGCACCGTAAACGTAGGTAATAAAAATACCTATACCTAGGCTATATGATAGTAGTAAGTAACATAAGATATCACCAGTGATCGGATATTCGAATGCATATTTACCTAAAGTTCATTTTTGTCTAGGAAATTATGGAAGCGGATTCTTAAAACATATTTTTTAAGTTTAAATCCTGCGATCCAGAATTTTCGGGAATGCGAAACTAGTCAGTAACATGGTGAGGAAACGACATCTTTAGCATGTGGTACCTATTCCATATTCATTATAGCCAACACCTAAACTTTAGGCAAATACGAAAGTGGTTTTAACAGCTACATTAGGCCCTTCGCCCACGGCGACTTTTTGCAGTGATGCTGTCGCGCGTTTCGTGAACGAACGACAGCATCGCTACTGACGCGCGTTAGTCGAATCGCTACAAAAAGTCGCCGTGGGCGAGAGTCCTTAGATGGTTAAGATCATAGACTCACTCAAGATGCTCCTTGTAGATGTCGAAGTCAGTGAACACTATCTCGACGATCTCGTGAGGCGCTGCTAAGAAGGTGTAGAGAAGACAGTCGATGCGTGACAGTAAGTAACATAAGTTATCTATCATATTAGCTAGTAAAGGAAGTTTAAATGCTGCAGTTAAGATGGTTAAGATCATAGACTTGTGGCGACACCGACGATACGCCACTACAAACTGTGTACCAACAGATGGCGCTGTCACTACTACACTATGGCACACTCCGCCGCTCATACAAACCTGCATCGCGGTGACGGAGTTTTATATCTTGCCAAATAATAGACAAACCAAGATGGTGTAAATTGGACCTTGGTCCCCGAGCATAACACCCGCTCGGAAGGAATCACTAACATCTAGCTTCCTTATTGTGGTTGAGCATCGCCCACAGACTCACTCAAGATGCGCCTTGAAGATGTCGAAGTCGGTAAAGATCTCTTCAATCTCGTGCGGCACTACTAAGAATAAGGTATAGACAGTGAACACCTATCTCGATGATATCTTGCGGCACTACTAAGAAGGTCTAGAGTAGACAGTCGATGCGTTACAGTATTATATTATTAGCTAGTAAAGGAATTTTGGTTGCTACAGTTATGATGGTGATGATCATTAGACTCACTCAAGATGCTCCTTGTAGATGTCGAAGTCAGTGAACACTATCTCGACGATCTCGTGAGGCGCCGCTAAGAAGGTGTACAGCAGACAGTCAATCCGCGGCGGGTACGGGCGCGGGTAGTCGGGACTGCTGAATGTGCCGCGCTCTTTGCCGTAGGTAGAGGTGAAGCGGAGGCAGGAACAACCTGTGCAAGAGAAGTTACTATTTATAAAGGTACTTCTGTGATGATAAAAAAAGACAATCATTTTGTAAACGACAAAATATCGACACTGAAAACTTTAGTACTTGCAGTGACAAAAGGACTTTTACCCAGAGAAACTAATGCAGTCTTTTTTTGAAAATTATAAATATCTTGAGAAAACAAACTGCCTAAGCCAGGAATTGAACCCACGACCTTCCGCTTGCGACTGCTCTTCCAACTGAGCTATGTACTTAGACACTGGATGAACCCGTCGAAATTTTGAGGTGTGTTATTTTTTCAAGTTAAATATAATTTCCATATTAGTTTGAGATGCGACTCTTATCGCTAAAAATTAAATAAATTAAGCAGTCTTCACACCAAACTCGCTGAAGTCTTCGACTTTGACATGCTGTCAAAAGTCATAAAACAAATCACTGGGCTACGGCAGGCTTCTTATGTAGAGTCCTAAAACTTTTGCATCATCAGACTGATCTATCTAGATCTATTAACCCAAAAAAACTTAACTACTTCAATAAAATCATTTCAAAATTCACAGTTCGCAAACACGATTTAAAACTAATTTACTATAATCCGCCTAAACCAAACGGCTTACATATGTGATTCAGGCTCGCGTTGTGGATTAAATTATTCTAGTTGGGATAATATTATCAATTTGAATTTATATGGGATACCGGGACATGTATGCAGGATAGGCGGTATTACGGGAATGTCAAGAACGTTGTGTTGTGATACATTGGTAGGAAATTGGTACATAACTAATATTATTAAACTCTCCTAGTGCTGCGGCAGTGGTAGTGAGCTACTTTTAAATTATGGAAAAATCTAAGTATACAGGGTGGAATTTTGTAATGCCACTTGGAGGGAAAGTACTCTTAATACTGTAGATAGGAAATTTTACTAAAAGAAAACATTCCTTTATTTTTGAAAAGAAAGAGAACTGCATTCAAAAACTTTCGATTTTTTTTCTTGAAAATTCACTACCATACCATTACCATACAATTTTCTTTACATTAATTAAAATAATTTAAGGTTTCATGGTTTTCCTTTCATTTTATTTATCAAGTTTGTTAGAGAGATTTCATCCTTATACTTAACCCTAACGATCGATGTAATAAAAGTACAGGTTGTAATTTTTAATAGATTTTAGTTGGTTCGATTCCCGGGTGTGGCAAGCAAATTTTTGGAAATCTTTGAAAGCAGTTCTATTTCTTTTTAAAAATAAAGGAATATTTTCTTTGAGAATGTTTTTCTATCTACAATATTAAGAGTACTTTCCCTCCAGGTGGCATTACAAAATTCCACCCTGTATAATGTATAAAAACTAAAGGTCACTCATTAAACGACTCACTCATCACTAAATCTCAGAAACTACAAGTGCTAGGAGTCTCAAATTTTGCATGGGGATTCCTTTTAGAACGTAGGTGCTCACTAAGAACGGGTTTTACGAAACTCCACCCATAAGGGGTACGCGTACGAAGTCGCGAAAATAAAAGCTAACATCATTATTTTGGCATTATAAAAGTTAGCCAACGATTATGTGCATAGGACTTATAGGTACTCAAAATACCTTCCTCTTACAAAATACGTTGTGGGTTCCAAGACTAGTTAGTTAAGTTAGTTATCAAGTTGTGTTTCGTTAGCCGTTAGCAACTAACTTTGAACTTGATCGTAAATACACGTTGTTTTTACTTTGTCGTTCAACAAAGATAAAACGTTTAACGTTTACGTAAGGTTTAAAGTAGCCGCTAGAGGCGCTGTACAATCTATAATACATTTATTGTCATTTTTTTACTCAGTCGCTAGCGAGTACACTTAAATGTAAATCCATTATAAGCAGACTAACGCCCGTATTCACAACAATACTATAAGGTATCACAGGGTGACACATGAATCAATCACAGAGCTTTATTCAACGCTGTGCGTTGGATTTGCTGCTTCACTTAAGCAAGCATCGTTTGTGAATACGGGCGTGAGCAATCAAACGTGATACGCACTCTCTATTCACAGTACTCTTCAATAGAATGAATAGTTCTAGGACTACCATTGTAGGAACAAGTACATTCCTTCTATCTCTTCGTTGGACCTCAATGTTGACAAAGCAATCTACATTGACCCCCCAATTTAACCCTTTCACGGCTCGCAATGAATGGGAAATGTCGAGAATTGACGGGTCAAATGGTAGTGGTCTTAATAAGGTACAGGACTCAGCAGGTTTTATATTGTAGTGACATGGGCAGGCGTGTAATCGATGTAATGTAAAATTGAAAAATATAGAAACAGAAGAAAATAAAAGAGAGAAAAAATATCATAATAATGAAAAAGTAGACGCCCTCGTTCAAAATTTTTCAAAAAGGCGTCTAAAAAGGATGTTGCACATATCAATCCGAAAAGGGATCGTAACCATATCATTTCGAGGCGGTCAGTATTCTTTGTATGAAACTCCATACTGCAACGCACACTTATCCGAACTGAAACGTAAACGCCTCGCCTCGCGATTGACAGCGCGAGAAAAGCAATGACAGCTCGTGAAAGGTGATACGGTGTTGATCCCTTTCCGAGTTGATAAGTCTGCTATGAGCTTACAACTGTAAACTTTTAACTGATTTACCAAATCGCATTTCTGAATTAAAGAAGGTATCAGGTGTGATACAGACCAAGAGCTTCCTCGTTGTGGATAAAAAAAAGTTTTACATTCAAAAGAGCGGCCAGTCTATTGTCAAATATTCACCTCTATCTAGCCAATGCCTAATAAATTCAGTGGCAGTGCTAGGAACCAGGACAGGACCAAGTTTGTACAAGATGCAAGAGGGTAATTGGCGTGTATCTGCTGAGTTACGGCGTAGTCTTAGGGCAATATACTGATTTATAGTTTCTGTTGTTTATTTACTCCAGCAGGTAGGAGTCAATATTGACCTTTACATATCAAGGTGTGCCTAGCCTGTGGCAAAATTTTCGTCATGACACAGGTGAGTAAGTACAAATTTAATATGACAGGATTTGCAGAAATATTCTATAATTTTGGCCCCAGAACTTTATTTCAGGTTACTGTTTGCCGTATGTATAATAGCGTTGAACTTGTGTGAAACCGTTCACGCTGTGAAGTCGTAAAAGCATACAGACGCTGAAGATGCACAATATGATATGATATACCTTTCAATGGCATTCTTCATTGTTGGCTATTGATATTTTGTTCGTTCGTTTCAGTCAAATGACGTCCACTGTTGGACAAAGGCCTCCCCCAAGGTTTTCCACAATGAACGGTCCTGCGCTGCCCGCATCCAGGCTCTTCCCGCGACCTTTACCAGATCGTCGGTCCACCTAGTAGGAGGCCTGCCCACGCTACGTCTTCCAGCCCGTGGTCGCCACTCGAGAACTTTCTATTGATATTTACTTAATGGATTTTGTGGGGTTTTATGCTGCAGCGCACGCAAACATTTTCACTAATAAGTAATGTAAATTCTAACTAATGCGTTAGCACATTTTGGCAAGAACTTAAATTAGTCTGGACGTGTATTCAATTATACTGTTATGTGCAAAGACCTTGTCTTGATGATTATTGAGTTATCAATACGATCCCTAGATGTAAACGTGTTAATAAGTTAGACTTGAGACCATCTGAGATATACTATACAGTGTGTCCGGGCATGTAGTGATCAAACTTTAAGGGCGTAATCTATGGACAATTTTATCGATGAAAATACTTCAAATTTGGGGCCTGACCCATTTCTCGAAAAATTACATCGATTTAAGTTTTTAATTTTTAGTTTACACCTCTTCTTTAAAAAACAAGTGAAAACGTGGGTAGCTTAACATTAATAGGCAAATATTTTATATCATGCTATAGCCAATAAAATTATCTATTAGTAGAAGAAGAAAGCAAGAAAGAAGTTATTTTCCAACACAAGAAAAACCAGGTCGTTAAGGTATGTTTTATTTGCATTTTATTTTTAGTATTTGAGCTATTCTACAAAACGAATGTAAATTTATTAGTCTACGTCTTTTAGTTCCGACGTAATTGTTGAACAAAGATACCCCTTCCCAGCTGTTTCCATAGTAATCGGAATAGGTTGTGTGATTCTTTCAGGCAATGCATTTTCGCATGTCGCGTGCGCTATGGAAACCGCTGGGAAGGGGTATCTTTGTTCAATAATTACGTCGAAACTAATAGACGTAGACTAATAAATTTACATTTGTTTTGTAGAATAGCTCAAATACTAATAATACAATGCAAATAAAACATACCTTAACCACCTGGTTTTTCTTGTGTTGGAAAATAACTGAAAAAGAAGTGAAAAAAGTAATGTATTTTTCTAATTAAATCCATTCTTACTCCCATAAAATGTATGAAACTTGTGTCTGCTTTCTTCTTCTACTAATAGATAATTTTATTGGCTATCGCATGATATAAAATATTTGCCTATTAATGTTAAGCTACCCACGCTTTCACTTGTTTTTTAAAGAATAGGTGTAAACTAAAAATTAAAAACATAAATCGATGTAATTTTTCGAGAAATGGGTCAAGCCCCAAATTTGAAGTATTTTCATCGATAAAATTGTCCATAGATTACGCCCTTAAAGTTTGATCTCTACATGCCCGGACACACTGTATACATAAATGTAAAGTAGAATATGATAGGTGCAAAATAACAACTAACTAACCAAGAAATTCTTTAGAATAACTGACAAATATGGTTTTGCCTGGGCAGAATTTCATAATATTCCCATTCGTCGAAGGCCAGTGCACATTTCTAGGTTACCTGAAGTCCGAGGCACATTTGATTAAATTCCTCACTAACTATGAATGTATAAAATTTATGAAGATTGAAATGTTATACGAAACTTGTACTAATACTAAATTCCATCATCGCAACATTAGGGCAGGTACTTCATCATCATCATCATTATTTTAGCATAGGCCTGCCCCAATGATTTCCATGTTGATCGATTGGTAGCGGCCTGCGTCCAGCGCCTTCCCTAGGGCATTAGGGCAGGTACTTGTAACGTATTTATTCTAGCACTTATTACCATAATACTGAATAAAAAACAAATCACAAGTCTAACCCACAAAGTGACTATACTTTAGCAACCCCATCTATCCCGGGGATTCACCCAGACACCGAAATGAAAACGAAGTAGCAAATGAACCGTTCCAAGAAGAAGTGTCGGACATTACGAGGCTGTCTCGTCCAAATGAATATTCAAGTAAGCCACGACAACTACCTAATATCCCGGTCAGATGAAAAAGCGAGGATATTTGTCTGGTCAAATTGAAAGTCGGCTAAATACAAGCTAAAACCTTTGGCTACAATTTTGAGACGTTAATGGTAATTTTTGTACATAGAAACGAAGATCTTAAATTAGATGCCATTTACATGAATACTAACCTAGTTTATTCTCAAACTAGCGCGAGCGGCCACCCGCGACTTCGTACGCATAGATCCCGTTTTACCTCCTTACGGGTGGAGTTTCGTAAAATCCTTTCTTAGCGGATGCCTACGTCATAACATCTACCTGCATGCCAAATTTCAGCCCGATCCGTCCCGTGGTTTGGGCTGTGCGTTGATAGATCACTAGGTCAGTCAGTCAATCAGTCAGTCACCTTTGAGTTATACATATGTATATTTAGAATATGCAGACTTAGACCAAATGGTAGGACAGTATAGTATAGCGCATAACTCAGTTAATGCCTCACGTATGGGAGCGGCAAGGTGTTTTTGTTGACGTCAACGTCAAAGAGACTTTAAAAATGCTTCGATTGAAATGATCTGTCATGTATGAAGGTGTTTTTGTTGACGTCAATGTCAAAGAGACTTTAAATGTGCTTCGATTGAAATGATCTGTCATGTATGAAGGTGTTTTTGTTGACGTCAACGTCAAAGAGACTTTAAATGTGCTTCGATTGATATGATCTGTCATGTATGAAGGTGTTTTTGCTGACGTCAACGTCAACGAGACTTCAAATGTGCTTCGATTGATATGATCTGCCATGTATGAAGGTGTTTTTGTTGACGTCAACGTCAAAGAGACTTTAAATGTGCTTCGATTGATATGATCTGTCATGTATGAAGGTGTTTTTGCTGACGTCAACGTCAACGAGACTTCAAAATTAAATGTGCTTCGATTGGTATGCTCTGTCATGTCATAATATGCAAATGCCACCCCTTCCATGCCGCGCCCATACTTACCTCAGGCACTGACTGAGTTAAGCGGAGTATAGCGGAGTTGCAGGTTCAAGTCCATGTAATTGTGAATTGTATAACCAATAAGGTGTCGCTAAAGCACACAGTTACAAGCGTAAAGTTACAGTACATTTACTTATATCAGAAGTTTTTGCGAACCATCTGTGCGCAACAATTTTGCTCCAAACTTCAAAGAGAGCATGTTAACAGCTGGGTTCACCGTAGATGTACGTTACTTTTGTGCTGTACATGTTGTTGATGAACATACAACATATTCGCTGACGTATTTCGCTTGAACTAACGACCTTAAAAAACGGGAGGAGACCGTGCTTTTTAGCGATCTTTGGGGAAGCCCCAAGACTAGAAAAATACTGCAACTAAATTAAAATTACGAGTATGGTGACAATGACTTTAGGAGAAAATATTAAAATTTTAATAACTTGACAAAATTAATTACTTTGCTAGCAAACGAAGGGTGGGTTCGATTCCCACCTTTGGCAATTCGATTTGTTAATGCTAAAAAATCTATGTACCTACGTGCATAATATTTTCTTTTTTTGAAGGGACGCGCGCTGGTAGCTTGAGGAGCTTTTCCAGCTTCACCGGGCAGAGTGGCGAGTACAGAAGGTACTCTAGCCGTTTGGCGATCGTCGGTGCGCGTGCCGACGAGGCCGTAATAAAATTAAGTGTGACGATAAGTTATACGATTTTTCTTTTCTGGATCAGCGACATTCGTGAAAGAAAACACCTAATCACAGGCACAGGCAGGGCACCTTATCTTACTTGCTAGATCTTCTAAAACATTCTTTAAAACGTGTGAATTATACAGAATAAATAAGATTGTTAAAGTAATCAACACATACTCCGAGGGAGGCGTAGCTTATCTCCGTGAAAAGAGAATTTATCTTGTAATGTATTTGTTACGGTTAATGTGATAAATTGAAAATTATTAACAATAACCGGTTATTATGAATAATTACCGACAGTCGCGGTAAAAGTGATAAATTAATCACATTTAACAGTGATTATGTAATAATTCAACCTTAGTACTAACAAATTTCATAAAAGAGAACAACATCTTGTGTACGTGCTTGTGTACAGCCAAACTTTTGAACGTTTTGATATCATTAATATAATTTGGCATAATGAGTATGGAATGTTTCTTGCATAATATTACTTTTCCATGATGCCTATAACATAATGTTTTGATTTAAAGTGAAAAATAGGTTAAGGTGCGGCGGGGGTGGTCCTTGGGCCACCCCTAAGCCGCCTATTTAGTTTTATAAACACATAAATGACCTCATATTAATCACATTTGCCAAATCATGCGGTAATTATTCATAATAACCGGCGATTATTCATAATTTTCACATTTATCACTTTGACCGTAACATATTCATTCATTAGGTCATTCCACCCGTCTGGAGATCCAGATAATACCTAAGCTCCTGCATCCACCTAATCTCTAGACGCCATTTTTCGACGAAATGGAAAGTAACCGTCCCCGGTTCAAATAAATTTTATTAAAGCAACCCTGCGAGTGAAAGATAGGTAAGTTATTTATACGTAAATTTATATTGAAAATTCGGATCTCAATCACTTTTTGTTATTTGAATAAATCCTGAAATACTGAGTTTGAAGTTTTATCTCCAATTAGGTAACTTGAAAATTTTAGTGTCAAATTACACCAACTTTATAGAACATTGTGCTTTGAAGCATAAATAAGTATCCTAAGTTTATAAAAGTTTGAATAGTCAAATAGATTGTTTTGACAACCTATGTTAAAATTAAAAAATAAATGAAAAACACTATATACTCAAGAGTCTTTACTAAATCAAATTACATAAGAAGATAACGTTTTATATTCATGGATTCATTGTTTTTTATATATCAAATACACGAGTATCACGAATTAATAAACCACAAAAGTTAAATTAAGGAATCTGGAGCGAAACGTCTATATTACGACAGTGAAATGGCAACCCTAAGTCATTATTTTTGTAACATGAAACAATCATGAACTCCGAAGAAACGTTTCAAAATGTGTAATGTATTAGCAAGAACAAAATAAATAACATTAACATTATTTTATTTCTTTCAGTTTTAGACACTGAAATAACTTTTATTCATAAATATTCTAAACAAAATGTTTTATAAGAATTTTGCCAAATGAATAGAGATGAAAATAAAATTTCAATTTACAAAAAGCGCGAAAAAATACAGACCAAAATAATATACACTGACAAAACCACAGAGCAAGAAATAAATAAACAAACACAAACAAGTGCAAAAAATATTGTATTAAATATTTATATCTAAACGAAAGATTTCACATTAATTCGTTCACATGTTAGTAAATGCCATAACGAAACTCGTTTCATTCAAAGTGATCAAATTGAAAAAGTCGCTAGTTGAAACTTGGGCCGTTTTTCAAGCCAAAATTAATGTCAGACTAAACTTGTCAGATTTGATAAGGGTGTGTTCACATTTACAACTTCGACGGCGATTTACAGCACAATGCAAGCCATTATGAATTTAGTTCCAATGAGAAGTTGAGAGCGAATGGAAATTTTCCGCTTCGCCGATTGTCAAGTTTTTCAAGAAAGAAATGAAAATTTTGTATTAATGGAACCTAGGTATGAACCAAAATTTCTCAGAGTGAGTTGTCAAAATATTTGAGTAGGAATTTGAACAACAAATGCCCAATTTCGCCATCAATCCCTAATTTTTAAGAGATCCCATGGTATCACATAACAGGAAATTTGTTTTAAAAGGGGTTACTTAAAAATTAGGGATTGATGGTGAAAACGGCATTGCCAGTAACCTGCAGATGACTGGGAACAGACTTTTAACCAATTGAACCCGGAATTCATGGCCATTCATTGCGCGAAACATTAAATATCACCCATTTTAGATGCCAGAACGTGTTTGATGTGCGTTCATTTACCTAGTCACTACTTAGCCTAGGCGCAGACCACCAACTTTTAGTTGGCCGATAGTTGGGCCCGATTCTAATTAGTATGAAAAATCGGCCGATATCAAATCGGTTTAATGTGCGCACTTCCATACATGCCCATACTGATTAATTGCCAGACTATCTGCCGACAAAAATCGGTGGTCTGCGTGAATACTAAAACCTAGTTACAGCGAGCCACTGTAACTAGGTTTTAGTATGTAATGAATAGTGCCTATGTTCAAAGTTCATATTACATTTTGCTGACGTCAGCAGTGGGCACAGACCCTAAGGGTCTTTTTACTGACGTCACTGAGATAAAACAGTTAATACTCACTCGGATTCACGGCGTGCCCTTCATCAACCGTGTGCAGAGATAAGTGGAGCAGCAGGATGAGCGTTGTTGACGTCTGCAAAAAATGTACCGTTAAATGCGGGGTAATGAAGGTGGATTTATGTGATTTAAAATTATATACGGTTGGACTTTTTTACGGTTAACATTTTAAAGTACGAGTTTTGACCTAGACTACGTACGCTTGGTTCACGAGTTTTGCCCCGGTTAGGATAGGTATTTATATTATTTTTCTGTTCTTCAGTCTTAGTAGCATTTAAGTATAGTGTTCAGTTTAAAATACATATTTGAGGCTAAAAAGTATTCGTTTTCTATTACAAATTGTGGCCAAAAAACTGACCAAGTCTATATTGCCATTGAAATAAATGAAATAGAGTTGATCAGTAAGGTTCATCATTATCATAATCGTCAAAATTAAGTCGGGAATCTTTTTGTAACAAATACGTAAATTAAACATTAAAATTAAATCATTAATTTAATTTTGTAAACATTAAACGTGGTCAAACATTATTTTGTATGTGAGTTGAATTTTCCGACTTTGAAATTTTGAATTCTCGAAAACCGGATTATCATATCTATTATCTTTTCCTTGAAAACTCAAATGCTTAAAGCGCTTCGTGGAAATACTTTACAGCTCACTGACTCGAATGACGAAAGCCTAGTTATAAGGTGAAAGTAATTTGAAATTCTAAGTTTCGTTGAATATTTCTAAATGTATTATGTTTTAGTCATCGATCGCCTAAAGGCTTTTTTATTTAAGTGAAGATTTCATTACCACAGTAAAGAACCTATTGCGTGTTATACGAGTTTTATAAAATAATCAAAATAAGTTTCAAATTCAGGATCATTTAAGCTTTCATATGTCAAGTCATATATATGTTACAGGAAATGTATGAATTCTAGGAATTGTATACTATTCCTAGGAAATGTTTACAATTCCGAAGCTATTTAGGAAATGTATAAAATATTGCTTCAGAAATTTTTTATACGCACATATCCTAGGACATGTATACTTTTCCTAGGAATTTTATAGAATTCCAATATTGTATTAGGAAATGTATAAAACTAAGCGGCACAAGCGCGGTCGTGTGATCGGGTGCCCCTCAGTACGCCTAAAATTTCATTTAGCCAAACCACATTGGCCGATAGGTGCTTTTAACTCACAACTATTATTGTTTAGCCTGAAAGTTGTTTTCGCACTATTATACTTTTGCCGAAAAAAATATTTGCCTATTAGCATACCTTTCTTTCGGCATCGCGCATATTATTACGCTGAAGTATTGGAAAACCCTAATTTTAACACCTCTTTTATTGAACTATTATTGGCATGAAGGTTTTAGTACTCCTGTAGCTGGATAACAAAGTCTCGGTTAGGTTAGGTTAGACTTGCGACCTTACACATACACAACTGCCGCGGCGCGGTAGCGCCATTTAAGTTTCGGAGAAAAAAAAAGAAATCTTAATTACATTTCCGATTGCTGTTTAGGAAATGTGTCTAATATAATTTACATCACACATTTCCGGGTGATTTTAGGACTTATACACAATTCCTAGGAATTGTATACAATGACGGATTTCATACATTTCCTGTAACATATACACTGAAAAAAATGTTTGGTTACTGCTTACACAACGAAAGTGACCACCGAACTAAGTGATAACTATAACCAAACTAAGTCTAGCTCATTACAGAATTATTTGTTTAATTTACACAACATTTTGTTCCTCATAACCAAAGTGTTCGGTGGTCACTTTTGTTGTGTAAGCAGTAACCAAACATTTTTTCAGTGTAGTCACTTCAGGGCTTCATTTAGTGGGAAAAATTATTTGGTTATAAAAAAAGATTTTTTCTTTTTTACAACTGTAACAAAAATAGGTTACGATTATTTTATCTTTTACGTGCTTAAAATCTAGTATGTGTTCCATGCCGTTATTAAATCCAGTGTTAGCACTGCGAACGCCATACTAAACCGTGCCGCATTGAAGCATTATACCATACTCTGTCTTCATTCCGCCTACCCTGGTACAGTGAGCATCATAAATTTGTTAAAAATCTATACTAATATTATAAATGCGAAAGTAACTCTGTCTGTCTGTCTGTCTCGCTTTCACGCCTAAACCAAGGAACCGATTTTGATGAAATTTGGCATAGAGATAGTTTGAGTCCCGAGAAAGGACATAAGATAGTTTTATCCCGGTTTTTGAAACAGGGACGCGCGCAATAAAGTTTTTCTGTGACAGAAAAAATTCCACGCGGGCGAAGCCGCGGGGAAAGCTAGTAAATAATAAAATAATAAATATCCTTGGATATTACACAACGCTTAAAAATTATGAGTACTTACCTACCCAAAGGTACCAGTTTTTCAGAAGTACTAAAGAAATCTACGTTATTGTAGAGCCTCTGGTAGAAGATCTAAGATCCTGATTTCTAGGACCTTGCATTTTTGAGACAATGAACATCACATTTTAAAATAATATTTTTTTATCTTGCGGTTTAGATTTGACTTATTTAGCGTATCATATCGAGAACTAAATAAAGCCAATACTTATTATTTTAATCAATATAGGAAGATACGTTTTATTCAGACTTCATCACATTACGGCAAAATTACCATAATAAGGCTTACGAAAAAGCCAAGATTCGAATACACACAGTCCGACCTACTCAATATAATGCATTTTTTATGCGTAATAAGGCAGGTATTTGATGGCAATCGTGAGATGGAGTCAAAGATGTTACATATCTGCCACGTAAGTGCCTATTCACTCTCGCCTTGAAAATGGTTTTATTAAACTTTTCCGCAACATAAATTTCTGCTGTTGACTGTACACGCATAAAACAGTGCGTTATTTGCGTACGCCGTACAACATGTACGTATTACGATACAAATTTTCCACAATCTGTTATCTATGTCGGCAGAAGCCATGTCGGAGGGAATTTACCTTAACCACATAGTCTGATTGTGGGGTTATATTCTCAAATAAGTTTGAATACTGGCTCTGTTTTTCTCTCTCATTCGTGTATAAGAAAAAAAGAGATGGGAAGAAGAGCTGAACTTAACTAAACATGTTTCGGAATAGACGCTTTTCGGTAAGAAAATATATTTTGAATTGTTGCAACTTTGACTGTAGTAAGTTGAAACGCTGAGTGAAGTGACATGTTGTAGCGCTGCTATTCAGCTTTTTCCAAGTGCAAGGTTGAATGCATGTAAATGCACTTCAGAGATTGCCATTGTAATCATAATACTGCTATAACTTGTATAACATTATTTCACTTGTTTTAACTTTAAAGAGGTAGGTAGTAAGTGAATTGCGATTGTTGTCTCCGAAAACGGGCCTTACGCTTTCTGAGTACGCTACAAAAATAAAACAATTATTGACAAAGATAAACACAGGTATAAGCACAATACGCGCTTACCTGTATTTGCAAAATCAAAAATATTTATTCAGTTTAGACCACAAGTGGCACTTATGAACGTCAAAATGTAGTAACAAATAAATAAGAAAAGGTAGCCTGTTATGCAATTTATTAAATTATGAAACGCAAAATCTAAATAAAAATTGACAAAAGTTTTTATGACAATATTTTTTTATTATTGAACCAAATCACTGGGTGGCAATATCCTTCAAATTTTTGCACCAAACTTCGGATATGGCTCATCTGCGTATGGATTAAAATAATCAACAATATACGCGTAATACAGGGTGTTTAGAGAATGTAGGCATTAAATGTCTCTTGCTAAGACACGTTGAAGGCTCCGTGATGAAATGGAAGGATTCGCGTTACATAATTTGGGATAACGCCGTGTCGTAATCCAGAATCTCAATTCGCATCTTACATCGGTTTATATTAAGACTATAATAATATTAGGCCTGTTGAAATTAATATTAACAACTGATGTTTTACACACACTGTATCTGTTTTCAGCCCGAGCAAAGTTTACTCTTTAGGCTCCTGACAATGGATATACCAACTGTTTTTTTTTCAGGCTGAGTCTTACCATCTTACTTTAACTTTGTCAAACGTCAAAAATCTTTTGAACTCCATACAAAAAGCACCGGTTATCAAATTGGACGTAATTTCTAGAAAGAGAAATATTGCTTTATTATCAAGTCCCAAAGCCCATTGCTTTGCAAGATCAAAGTTAAAAAGTAATTTTAATTAATGTGAAAATTTAAGCTGGTTTTTTATTTTTGAACTTTGATTTAATAAACTTTAGCAGCAACATCAAATATTTGGCGATAGTACCTAACAAAGTTTTTAATATTCTCGTCAGTTTTTAATCTAAACTGATCTAAGTATAGACAAAATATTAAATTTTAGTAACGATAATATTTCTAAAACTGTAATAAACTTCCACCTTTATCGTCTGTGTATAAATAAAAAGATTCTTATTTTTCTTTGCCGTAATTACATGCGTCGTTAGGTTTATAAAAGCAAAGTTTCTAAAGAAAGTATCCAGCGAAGAACGTGTTGGAAATATAAAGGAGTTCGTAATTTCCGTACTTCAGATGACGAAGCGAGAATGCTATTTTCAAGCGATAGTTAATGGTGAAATTTTTCAGTGGCTTGTTTTCTTTTATGGTTTGTTGTTTAGATAATAAATAACGGGCTAACGTTAGCTCGATAGTTATTGTACAGTACAAGACGTATAAAAATCACATTAATAACGCGATAGGTCAATATAAATAAGTGCCTGTTAGAATAATGCAACACGACAGCTTTCGAACAAAAAACGCAAATTACGTTGCATTATTAACTAAGTGCAACAGGTAAAAATGATTTTAAAAGCATAAACTTGAAAACTAACTACACTTTTTTGAAAAATATCTAAATGCGTTATTGTGAGTTTTGGGTCAAATACTACTTGGACAAAAATATGTCGTGTAAGGCCCAGAACACACGGTGAAACGCAATTGCAACGAAACTGCAACTTCTAGTTAATTTTGAGTTTTGAAACCGGTTTCAAACTGGTCGCGTCATGTGTGGTCTCAACGGAATCTATGGCAGAAACTTAGATGCAACTCAAAAGTAACTAGATGTTGAAGTTTCGTTGC